ATACTTCAATCAACCTTTTTTCCTGCAAACAAAATTGATTAGCCTAGAGCAAGTCAGCACATCTATTATCAAGTTGTTCTTTTTGGATGTAGAATTGGACATACCCGAGTTTCACATTACTACCTTTAAACAAGAGACCATGGCCAATTTTGCATAGCTTGCAGTCAAACATTTTCTTTCAGACCTCTACCGTATCAATTCACTTAGCCTTAGTTCCATTCAAAACCCGGATCGATAAACTATAAGTATTCTAAAATTTAACTAACTCATTTGTTCCAACTTATTTTAGACCTACATGCTAAAGTGTTCGATGCGGTAAAACGAGTAACGTGTCATACAATGTCTTGTTAAATCCAAACAAACAAAACATCTTTATGTGTAATCGGACAGACTACATTATTGTAACAAGTATATCATTTGTTTTCAGTTTTCTTTAATTAAAAACATATAAAGAATGTAGTTTTGTTTATTTGTTTTCAACGCCAATTTTAACACGTGTTTGATCGCTGCTCGACGAAAGTTCTCCCCTAAGCAGTTTTTCCAGGATAGCTAATCAGTAATCAAAGTACTGAATGTACTGATGGGGAGGCTATGACAGAATGTTTCAGACTTATAGTTTCTTTTCTTTTTGCTTAAAATGTGTTGTTATTTCAATTATTACCAAAATAAGAAGATATGCACATTGTGTCATTTATCCATACTGTTGTGTTCAACCATTCATATATATGGTTAATATGGTTGACTATTCATTTTGTTAATATTCCAGAACATTTCATGGAGATCTACATTCGGACTGCTAATCCTGCAAATTTTGAAAAACCTAAACTGTCAATAATAAATGACATACCAGAAAGTATGACGACTGTTCATTATAAGATAACAATAACATTTTACAACTGACTGTTCCTTATCAAAATATTCTAGGACTGTTCATCATAAATACTTAATGTCATTTTAATATCATTGAATGATAATAACAACTGCAAGTGATGCAGCATTTTTATTGAACATAAAAATTATACATATTTACATGTCATGTACCATAATTGAGATCAATAAGATACTGTCTTGTGATGAGTGTTAATATCCATGCTCTACGGACAGAAAGATGTCTTCTTCCGAAGCAAATCTGGAATAAAATCACGTTTCAGAAAATTATTCCCATTTCATTACTCGTCGCTGACTTTGACGGCTTCGGATATTTATGAAAACTAAATATTTCTTGAAAAAATACATATCTGCAAAGCTTTTTCAAAGTTGAATCAACCTAAGTGAAAATTGATCAGGAAGTTATATCTTCTTTTTTTTACCGCCAACACTCAACCAACTTATGGTAGTTAATAGATAGATTCTACATGTATTTTTTAAACCTCACTAGCTTGAAATATAACTGCGGAAAATCTATTGTTAACAGGGTGTGCGGTTATTACGTAGGGTTTTCCCTGTCGACCATTTCCCGCAAATAGATGAGAACATCGAAGCGTCAGTGCTATGAATGGTGTTATGATTTATAAATAGCGTGTTTTGGAAGTTTTTTGTTGAAACTTCTCCAAATCCCTCCAGAGGCGTGCACGTCGCGGAGAAGGCACACGACAGGTCAAGGTCAAGTCATCTCAAGTACCAGAGGTGATTGGTTGTCCTTTCGTAACTTACTCTGGAGGTTTGGCGCTAATGAATGCCGTTTTTGTTGTCGTCAGTCAGGAAGTTGATGCCTTGCCAGTATTGTCGTCTCCTTTACCACCAACGAACGAAGAATGGGCTACCAGGAAGATTCGGCTTGAAAAAGACGTCCTCGATTCTATAATCTCGGACATATGGTTATTCCGGCCCCGAGTATAAATAAACTTAAACACACTTTTGTTGAAAACAAAACTAAAAAAACAACAACACATTTTCTGTAGTATTTTTTCAAGTGTTGTAAAATGAATACGAAATTCCTCTTATGCCGCCGATTATTTTTAGAACACAAACATATAATTTTTTTTATTTGATTTATTCAAATAAACATTAATCACTTCAGCGCCCGCAAATATCGTTTTCAAATTAAAGTTTCGTAAGATATGTTGATGAATTCCGATGCTAAACTGTAAGTCATTCGTATATATATATATATATGCGTTTTTTGTTGTTGTTTTTTAAGCCTCTTATTCTTTAATATTTTTTATGTATCTCATAATCTGTATTGAAAATTTGAATTTTATTACACATGGACTAGCAAATTATGATGCGTTGCCCTAGAATTGAATAAACTTTCTAATTACACAATACGGGATCATTCATTTGATTGAAGACTGATCTTTGCGTCTTTCTCAGAAATAATTATTTCCTTGTTAAAACATATTTGACCACACATTTCTGTCATTTAACTGTTCACTTTACAGCTATATGATATGGCGGTTTATGAGCGTTTTCCGCTTAGAGCCTCCTAGGGTGTACTAATAAGTTAGTTTTCCTTAGTTATCACGCAAGCACGATCCATGTCTCTGATGTAAGAAACAATTTACCATTATTTGTCTTTGAAAAATATTAAGGACTATTAATGGTTTATATCAACAAAAGAACATGCATGATATTGAGACTATGGTGTTGCAACGTTCTAGTTAATGACCCGTCATAAACAGTTGGTCGCTGCGTAGTAATTGGAAAATTGTTATCAAAAATAATAAAGAATATTTGCCACCTAATAAAAGCATTTACTAATAAATTTTCATTTATGCTTTTTTAAAAAAAATTATTAATAAAATTATTATGTAGAAGGGTTTTCATACCAGAACTATTTATTACAGACGTACGTATGCCTAAACCTGATTACCGCGGCAGTATGACGTCACGGAGTAGTGATTTTGAAAAAATAACAAACAAAAATCAAGAATTTTTCAGAGAATTATTATCTGATATGAAATTAAAGAATGAAAATATTTTCATATTGTAAAAGTCTGTGATGAGTGATCAGTCAGCTTAGAAAAAATCAAGGTACTATTATTTGACCTGATTACCGCGGCAGTAAGATTTGACAGATGGTATTAACATTGGGTCGGCATAGCCTCCCCAAAAACAATTTGACCGCACGTGACCACCCATTAATCGAATCAATAAAGGGTCTCAAATAATCGTAAGATTGCATTGTCCACGATTAGGTGTCACGTAGATTTGTTTTTTTCTTTTCTCGAGGATCGAACCATCGACCACTTATCACACATACGTTGCTCTCCCAATTGAGCTTAGTGCACTATGCCTTTACCACGTGACTTTAAATGATCTGCGTGGGTAGAAAAAAACTAATATAAAAGGCGATCCAGGTTTTATATTCTGCGACTATTTTTCTCATATTTCATCATTTTTATGGGATGACGTGTAGAGCCAGCTACTTCTAGCGGAGAACATATACATAAAATGTTTCCTGAAACAAAAATACAAACGAAAATATATGTATTGCTCACTAGAATGAGTGGGTTTTATGATTTGTCTGATTTAAAAAATGAAATGTTTTATAAGAAAATGAAATAAAATTTAGACCGTCCAATGTATTGGTTTTAGCCCAAAGCAGATCTTAAAATGTCATGAGATACAGGCATCGTGTAAGAGGAAGGAGTAGAGAATCTAGTGTACTATTAACATGTTGCGCATAAAATTTCAATTCCACCCGCTTATCTCAATAGGGAGAGGAGCATTGGATTTTAAATCCTAAGGGTAGTTGGTCTGATCCTCGGACAAGGCGAAATTCCTGCGTGACAACTGATCTCGGACAATTAGCCTAATGGTTATGTGTCTGCCATCGCTGATTCAAAAACCATGTGGGATAAGAAGTTGATCTCTTACAGAAAAAATTGATTATACTTGTTAGTTGTCAAGGAAAGCCGGTTAGGTGGACCTGTCGCCGAGCCATGGACAACAATGTGTTCAAATCGGCATTTCAACAAACAAACCTCAAGACCTGTTATGATATGAACGAGCGAAAGTAAATTGATTTTCTCATTATAAGTTTCTTCCTTAGCGATTAAAAAACGAATCTTAAAAATGACATAACATTTATCTTTTTAAAAATGTTTAAATGAGTTTGTTTACAGATAAAATGACACTAAAATTACTTTCAACTTTTGCTAAATGATTAATATTTTTCACATTGACAACGGATTTTTAAAGTAAAAGAAAATGGCATGCGTATAAAACCAAATTTAAATTCATTCTTTTTAAAAACGCCAAATAATTTGAATGAAAGGTGACTTAGGATTTCATGTCATTCAATACTATGACAAACACCCGTTAAAGCCATTTAAGCATGATCAGATCACTAATGTTTTTTTATTTGCGTTAATTCATGAGATTTGACATGTTCATGAATTTTAAATACAGCTTTGGGTTAGATATTTAACAGCCAATTTTAATCAAAATTGAACACAATGTATATGATTTAATTTATCGTAGCATGGAGAGGCAAATTTGGAAAAGTGTTGTATAATTCTAACTATACGAGTATAGTAAACATGTACAATATAACGACATTAACATTGTCATATTAGAGTCATTATTACAAATGTATTGTTACATAAACTTTACTTCAGTCTAATTATTGTTTTCTTTGTTTTTCGTGATTATTGATTCCAGTAAGGGATGTTTCACCTTTCCATTATCCATCATCGACAGATCATTCAAACCGAGTCTGCAATTTTGATATACTTTTGTTGTGTTCATTGCTCCAGAAGAGTCTCCCAATTTCAAGATTTCTATACACAACTTAATTGTTCTGTCAACAGATCACATATAACAAAATTTACTTCATGAAAAAAAAAGAGTTATATAAAAAAAATATATATATACATTCTATTTCCTTATCATATATTAAAAACTAAATAATATTAGTATCTGAATATGAAAAGTCAGATAAGTCTTGTAAGAACATATAAAAAGGCTGAAGTTGTTTTCTTGATAAGGCAAATCACAACCTTTTCGTCAGGAATTTTACACATCGAAAGCTTAAATTTTATAAATTTTTTCCAGTCTCAAGTTCATTAATCTGACATTTTGTTGTATATATAATCCAAGACTGAAACAACTTCTAATTAGTCTTATTTTGTTGCTATTGTGTCTCATATATTTGATAGCTAATTTGATTTACTTTGGTAAGAAATCAAGAATAGATTCACAAACTCTTTCCCAATTCGGTGTAATGATAACATCACCATTATGAAAACGTAAACTTATTCTCGTGTAATTATTGAAATGTTGTTTAATGAGAAGTGACATGTCCTGTTCGTCAACTTCTTCTATGAAAATTAGCATGATGGGTTTCTTCAAAGCAAAAGCTTGTTCAAATTCATATTTACAAAAATTGCTTTGACAAAACTGGTGTGAAACGACGCAAATAGCAATAGCGCTGATATTAAGACAATTATCAATTTCGTCAAAAATAGTTCGCCCTGGCCGGAAATTACGGTCGCCAGTGCAAACCAAGTCTCTCGGTGTATCAAACATACGTCTTAAGTGACCGACGAGATCTGGGTACACATGTTCCATGACAAGATCAACATCCTCGTTGCTATATGACAGAAAAACAGGATACTGAAAATGGTAATTATTGTCCTGAATTTGAGCCACAATTTCTTCTCTTGTTCGTTTTTGTCTTAATTTCTTTCTTCGATGTTTGCAAACTGCAACCGTGCTTACAGTTGTTACGATAACAGTAATTATAGTTATGGATGAAACAATTGCCATATTTCTAAGCCTTGTTGCCCTTTGACATTCTTTATTCAGATTTTTAGTAAACTGAACAGTTATTTTTTTATCATGTTCATGGTCCGAACATGTTATAGTTTGTGATGGGTTTCCGACGAGAGGTGTATGTACTATCCATTGTAAAAATGTTTCATATTTGCATATGCACTGAAACGGGTTCCCGTACAAATTTGCAACGAATTTTGTATAAGTTTTGTTGTACTGGAATTTTTCGTCAAACCACTGACGGCTTTTTTGGTCCAAGTGTGTTATTGCGTTACTTTGTAGATCAACTAATGATAAGGAAAATGTTGAACTTAGGGTTATTTGTCCCAGTCGATTGTTTGACAAATATAATAGAGTCAATTGAGGGTTGTTTTTGAACGTTTTACTTGGTAAAAATGTGAGTCCATTATTAGAAAGATCTATTATTTTCAAGGACTTTAGATGATAAAGAATATTCTCAAAATCCGAGGAATTTATTTTTTGCATGACATCAATCCTATTATTTGACATGTTTAACGTTTTCAAGGAAGACATACTTGTGAAAATTCCTCCATTCAAATACTCTAATGTATTGCCTTGTAGTTCAAGTTTCTCTAACTTTTTGAACAATAAATCTGCTTTTAGAACCACGTCGAGGTTCCGAAATAAGTTGTTTTGTACTGATATCTCTTTAAAATTGAATTCATCCAGACATTGAACATGCAAAAAAGTATTCTTTACTATAGACACATTTGTAAAGAAATTGTCGTAATTCAGATTTACAATGTTTTTAAAGAAGTAAAATTTATCGTACAATTTTACTCGTCCGTGTATGTTTTCGACATTCAAGTTGTCCCATTTATTTTGTGGCTGTATACTGTTAAGAACAAGATGTCTTAGAGAATTGCAAGGTGTGGGGGTTGCAGCAAAAAGATAGAATGATGAATGAGAAAAATCTAGTGTTTTTAATGTGTCGCATACTAAAATAAGTGCTTCGACATCCACTATTCCTATGTACATATTCCTAGCGGAGAAATCTGTAATGTTCCTTACGGCTAATGCTTTGAAGAACTCTTTGTCAAGATTTGTAAGTTTCCAAGGATCTTTCGCCATCTTATTAAGACTGTCAATTTTTAAGATATTTAAATTCGGCATCGAATTTTCGTCTTTCAACATTTGCAAAAGATAAAAGGATGAAAGCCTTTTACATCCTTTAATCACCAGTTCTGTAAGATTAATCAGTCCAACAAAAGCTGTCTTTTCAGTACTTTTCAGACCCGGCATAGATAAGTGAAGAATCTGAAGGGAAAGCAAACTGCTAAACGTGTTATTATAAAGGATTATCCATCCTAATGGAGCATCTAATGTCGATATTTCCAATTGTTTTAATAAATACCATCCTTTTCCTGTAAATGAGCTATAGCTGAGAGAAATATCTTTTGTATTAATATCAACTAGCTTCACATGTTCCACTGTATCCGCTATATCCTTTGGAATATGATTACTGCATTCCATGATGGTTGCACTTAAATTCTTGCAATTTTGTTCCATTGAAAATACATTATGTACGTGGAAACTGATCAGTAAAATAAAACACTTCAATATATAAACGCACGACATATTTTATTCTAAAACTATTTTTCTTCATGAACTGTCAAAGGTAAACGAATGGGAGAGAGATTAACGATGAAATTTTAAAACACGCGAGAATTTAACGTTAGATAAAGTTCCTCTACCAAAATACCTTGTACATCACCAAATGTGATAAAGAGCTCAACGCAAATATTGGTCATTAAAGGTGCCAACTGCGATCTAGTAGACTACTTATCACACAGTAAGACGTTTTAAAACTCTGTTTGTCTGTAGTCTATGTTTTAAGAGGGTCCATCTGTCCGTTAAAGCACAAAGAGTAGCTTTCGCTATCGATAACGCCTGCAATTTTCTGAAATATGAACTTTGGGTCTGAAGTAAGCCACTGTACAGCGAACAATCAGCACCATAACGTACAGTTACCTGAGGCAATAACGGTAAGTTACAGTCGCCCTGATTAGGGCTGTTGTTGCCAGTAGAGTGCGCCGTAGTTCAAGCCCTCACTATGAGCTCACGCACTGTTGTACCCTTACTAAACCCCGTGTATTCAACCCCGGGTTCAGTCAGGACTGGAAACACACCCTCTTTGGGAAAACCCGCGCACCACGTGTAAATTGCCTTTTTACAGTAGCAGTGTTTTTTTTTGCCTGCCGATGTCTGGGGTCTCTCATCAACGTGATGGTTCCGAGTGTGGATGTGTGAGAAAAAAACCCATTAAACTCAATATTGTTAGCACATTTTATGGTGTCTCAGAGAACAAAAACAGACTATAACAAATAAAAACATACAACGCTTTGTAAAATGATTATAAACCTACAAATGAATTAGAAAGCCAAAGATGTATACCCGCCAAAATTATGTTTAATATCAATTTCGGATTTCCAAAAATAAATTCATAAATATATTATTTTGAAAATTATTTTCGGATCTTTCTCAAACAGTAAAATATTAACACTCTTTTAAATATCTAACATGTTATGGCTTGATCTTTATTCATATTTGATCTAAATAAAATATCACATATACCAACCGGTCATATAGTCCTAAAATGCCTTTCAACAGTTTTTAAAACCCTATTTAAACTACTGTTGTCTGAAAATTTCATAATTAATTTTTATTGATATTAAAACTTGTTGTACAAGCTTAACTTCATACGAAGTATGTATAAAACTTAAATGTAAATAGAAATCCATTTGCGAGTTCTGTTCGATGTTACAACATACATTTCAGAAACAGTTAGTCTTATCATATGTTAATCCGCTATTATGTTCAAACCGATGCTAAAGAGCGGAAAAGGTAGCCCGTTTTTTTTTTTTTTTTTTGTTTTTTTTTTTGTTATTGGAGAGGTCATCAGACCTAGACCTCTCCACAGTGTTCAGACTGACTGCTGGCGGCATCCATTTTCGCGTATCCGTTTCAAAATGAGACTCAACTTAAACGAAAAATTATCATCGAAGTGAACAAATCGGTATATAGAAAAATCGCAAAATATCATTAACGTTACTTAGCGCTACACGGATGTTTCATTCCATTTTAATGTTTTAAACTGTAAAAATCGATTACCGTATTGTGTTCTGAATAGCGTTTTAATATTTCATGTTCCAATAAATAGTAACAGTGAACATTATAGCTACAATATCACCATGTACTATTACAAAAGTACCGAAAGTTTGCAGCTCTTTAAGCTTTTGACCGGTATGACTAAATAAGGCAATGGTGATTTTTTGGCGCAAATGGCACAAATTTTTTGGTTGGAGGCTGCATTATATACTGTTTATTCAAATGATATAAACATATTTTTATGTAAATCCTGGTCTAAATTTTTTTGATTAACATACTCTTTGCCCATTTTGGAAAATGTAGAGGAAATATTTCCATATACTTAGCAAAACATTAACCGAAAATTTGCTTATTGAATTTTACAAGAAACTTTTTGATAATAGTTTTAATATATATATCATTTATTTTAAATTTAGTTCTCTTTGTAAAAAAAATATCCCTTATGCGCCAAGAAAAGAGTACATTATTCCGGCAAATAATCTTTCAAAACATTTCAGAAATGAAGCTTTAAACAAACTTTCATTATGATACTATATTCAATATATATAATAAATTCTATTTTGTAAAATAATAATAATTTGTAACTACTCATTGTGTCTTTTCTCAAATATTTTCGAATTAAACAAATCTTCCACAGCAGCAAAAAGACCTCTCGCATGCTTCTTTTTAAAGAAGCAAACTTGTTTGTATTTTTGGGTCCTTTCTGACTATTTTTATTTGACTGATATTGATTTTTAGCAGAGTCAAATTGAGCACAAGATAGAAGTTGGGACTGAAAGTGATATTACTTATAGTTGCACAGTGACAGTTAAAATAAAAAAAAAACATACATTTACGTTCTTTTAAAAATCTGTCTAAATTGTAAGATGGCAGGTTTTCACAAACACTATCAACAGTTATGTCTCATTCGTTATTGGCGTTAACTTAACTATGCAATCTAGTAAGCTATAATGATGGATATTGAGGGAACTTTTCACAAAATACAGATTTACTCATTGACAACTTTGAATATTTTATTTAGACTAAAATCTAACTACCATTGGATACCTTTAATTTTATGCCGGTAGCTCAACATAGAAAACATCTCCTCATCAATCAATTTTATCTAACACTTAATTATTACTTCCTTATCCACAAAACAATTTTTATAATCATCTGTCATAATTATAATGAGAAAATTGTGGGTTTCCATTAACATTTTTAGAATGTGTATGTTGTTATATATTCGGGTGGGTAAAATTATGTTCCTTAAATATCTAATGCAAAAAGTCATGAAATTGACAATAGATATTAGTTGATAAATTCGATTGTCAAGACGGATAAATATGATCATAAGGGGGGAATATTCCAGTACACGTTGAGCTAAACTTTGAATATTAAGTTCAAATTGAAAGATTGCATTTTAAAGCACAATTTCATGAGTTTTTGTCTTGCAAATATGAATTTTTACAAGCATAATAATGTACACGTTCAGAATATCAGATTTATTTAGACCCCATAATAAATTTGGGCAGATTCTTTTTATCATTTTATTTTAAAAAGATGGTTCAACAATGAATCTAAAATGTGATGGGATAAGCTGAATAACAAATTCACAAAATACGCTATCCAAAAAAAACCACCTTGCAATCAAATATTTTTCAACATTATAAATAGTAAACTGAATTCATGAAATTCACAACACATATCGAATCAAATCAAATGTCCTTTGAGAAAATAATATTCCTACCAATATGGAACAGAATTAATGCATTTATTCCATCTTGCTTTATGATATCGGAACTTACATTATGATTGCTTCTATACTTCTTTATGACAATGAAAACCTGCGTTTTGCTGAATTCAATCATGCCTTATGATTACTGAATGCACTTTCATGTAATTTCAACCTTGTGTGTTCCCTACTAAACCATCAAACTCACATATTTTTAATATGCTATATGTTTAATTGCATCTTTTTAAGGACAACGTATTATGTTTGGTGTTTAAGATAACATTCTTTATAACTATATGTAACATGGTAGTTGTATCTTTAATTTGCTATAAATCTGCCACTTATATTGTCGACATTATGTCAAAATAAACTATTTCATTTTGATCAATCATTGGCGAATTTGATGTGTCTTAGCATTCATATGCTTCAATATATTCACTGATTACAAATATAATGCAATACATTATCACTGCGCATCGACAACAAAGATGACAACGATAGCGATATTATAGTCGCATGTGACAGTACGCACTAAGCAGTTGCAGTAAGCATAATCAGTGTGGCAATACCACGTGACATTGACGTCATTTTTCGGTATCATTTCCAAGACAAATGTTGCTCGATTCGGAAAAAGAAATAGCTGTAAATATTTTATTTCTGTACCAATTTCTTTGGGATATGCACCAGTCTACGGGGAAAAATATAAGCTTTCCATAGAATATTGGATCTTCGTCAGTTTATAAGCCGTTTTATAATCAAACACTTTGCATAACCTTGGAAGTTGCTTGTATTAGAGCTGGCTTCAGTTGCAAGCTATTTCGTTTTCTGGCGTTATCTGGTCTACGCCATGATTAAAAAGTCAGGTTTACATCAACCATCGGAGTACGGAAGGCAAAACTCTACCTAAATATTTTCATATTTTTATTATGAATGACGTAAATCTTACATTTTTCTTCAATTCTGTCAATTCTGGCACCAGTTCCAAGTCGAAAAAAAGGACTACAGTTTAAAGCAGATTTTAGAATCCGTTGCAAATGCAAAGCAACATGCCTACCGTTCTCTTTCTACAATTGAGTTTTTCATTGTTGATCTTCCACAGAGAGATTGTGAAAAAAAACTGATTGTTCCTTAAAGCAACAACACTTACTTGTATCGCAAAAGTGCGCGTCAAATCATGTAGATTTAGTCCTGTCGGAAAATAATATTTTGGCTTCGTTTTTGAAGATGTTTAAAGTATTGCTCATCTTATCCTATGTAGTAAAATGTGTTTTATTCTATTTCACAATGGCGAAATTGATAAGAAATATATGTGCTCTCAGTGAGAGAAAGAGTTAAAAATAAAAAAAAAACACTTTTGTATGCTATGGAAAGGGTTACACTTTAACGCGAGTGTTGTAAAGCTAAACGTATTTTTTTCAGTTTTTTTTTAAAGAGTAACTGACAAACACTGACACTCGTGAATGTGACGAATAGGTTCTTTCTGTCCTCAAAAGAGAGACTTTTAAAATGGTAATATATTTTTCTGGAATTGTTTGTATAATAAAGTTCTATAGAGTTTGAATAAACTAAATCACAATTTGAACTTGGAACCTTGCCGTGTAAATCTGATAGTATTGTTACTTAGTTGCATTACTTATGATTCTCTATTTATCAAAAATACCCAAAATAGCCATGAATAAGAACGAGAATGGACGCCATGTGGAGTAAACAAAGTTAGAAAATAGTAAACAGATAAATGATTTTACAATCCAACAGCCATCGATCACAGTCAAATTTCTTGAAAACAAAACATTCAAAAAAGACGGAAATGATAATGATTATCAATAATTATATAAATATTTACATTAACATCTGTAATAGCAACATCGGCAA